TCTCCAGAATGGAATATACTTTGGATAATACAAGTGGATATTATTTTCCCATGGACATTTATGGAGTGAAAGAGCTATAGGAAGCTGGGAGGAGATCTGATTTATTTATGCTGCACAAGAGCAAAGGTAAAAAACTTATTCAGAAATTATTTATTTTGTTCCCATATGTGTTGAATGCAAAGTCTGATATAGTTTGTATATAAATGTAGATATGAAAATAAGCTTTAAACTGCTGGATCACATTTGATTTAATAAAAGATTTGGACTCTGATGACCTTGACTTTTGAGCCCCTACAGAAAGCACTAATTTTACCAGATACGATATCACAAGAAGCTGTTTTGTTTACGTTAGCTTAATCATATACTAGACTAAATATTTGATAAACATCTTATTCTGGATATGCTACTTCATTGTTTTATTTTATTTCCGTAAAGAAATGCCATGTAAGACACATTTTGTAAAAATGTTTGTAAAAGCTGTACATGAAAAAATGTGAAAATATATTTGGCAAAACTGCTGGATCAGCTTGCCTAGTGGGAGCAGGTACATCGAAAACAAAATAGGCCCAAGCCTTACTGTAAATCTGCAAAATTCTGTCACGATGTTATTGAATGACAAAGTTCTACCTGTCACATGAAATCAGATTGTGGACTCCACAAGGATATAAAAACAATTACACACACACACACACGTTGGCCTTAAGGCCAGAAGGTCGTGGGTTCAATTCCCACCTCTACACCTTCTCCACCGACTCCCACTGATGACTGCTGTCGTTGTGTCCTTGGGCAAGACACTTAACCCCACTTTGCCCAAAGCCCCCACTGAAAGATCAAGGCTATGCTCACACTCAGAGAGCAGCCGTCCTCCTGTGGACTCACCACCTGCAGAGGGTCAGTGAGGGGCTGGTGCTATGAGACTTGGGTGGCATCTCTGATTGCCACCCCCCTGACCCAGAAATTGATTAAAGGGTAGAAAATGGATGGATACATACACATTTTTGTTACCTGGTGGGTCCCTTTGACAGGGCCGTACCTAATGGGACCCATAGACATGATCTTTTTTACTGGGACTACTTTAAGTAATACAAAAACAGTCAATAGAAAACAAACAACTCTTTTAAATGAATTTTATTTTTGATTTCTTTTTTGAATTGCAGTGATTCTATTTTTGACATAGAATTTAATGCCACTCCATGTCCGATGTCTAAGGTCATCTGGTGAGGCATTAATGCAGGCCAGGCCAGGCCAGGCAGTGAGACTTCCCAGGGACTTTTCCAGCCTGTATGAAAGGCATCATGGTCTTCTCCACAGCCTTCACCTCAGATGCAGACCATGGCTTTCTTACACGTTCTAGGGAAAGAAATAAAAATATATTAGCAATATACACTCCCAGGGTTAGGACCAAGCAGCCTGGCTGTAATCCCCCACCTGGTACACTTACCAGAATGGGCACTGCCACTACCATGGGGTGCATCTGGATGAATGGTTGAAGGTTCTCCGCTTGAAGTTTCTTTTAGCCCGTCGTTTGTGAGAGGATCTCTACTGCTCTCCCTATAGCACAGAAAATAAAAATACAAGTGGCCTTTAGGGGAAAAAAATACATATTTTAAAGGCACACCGCGGACTTTGTGACCTAAAGAGTTGACACATGAGTTATTTTATATGAATACTTGGGCCAATATACAGCGCTTGACACTTGCAATGCTCCGAGCGGGGCTGCCCTCTTGAAATACCGCCCATGTAAGTTTCGAGCAGACGGACCGTCTGCCACCAGGTCACGTGACTTGGAAGAAAGACTTGCTTTACGGCTACAGGCGCTGATATACTCATGGAGCTAAGGCTTTTGCTACTCATTTTTCACACCTGCTCGACTCCTGGTCATGGCTGAGGCAAGGAAAAATTTTAAACCTTCGGAGGAGGCTAAAAAGAGGAAACGCGAAAGGGATCGTGCTGTAAGCTGCATGTCTGTATGAGCGCTGCTCTTCACCTGGTTCCTGGATGTCATCGACTGCAAAGATGTCATTCCACGCAGCACGAGCTAGACGCAGAACTCCCTCATCCAGGATATAGAAGTCCATGTGTGGTAGATTACTAATGCAGCGGTCTGGAGGCTGACCACAGCAGAGTCTCTCAATATCTGTAGGCATGTCTCTACAGTTTGAACACACACACCAGTGCATGCTGTCTGAAAACACACTCAAAAGACACCGGCTGACTGTTGACTTTTGCGACAGTGCTGAGTTGCTTGTGGCCACTAGGGGCGCTAAACGTGAAAGTTGCAGGTCTAGCGCCCCTAGTGGCCAAGAGTTACACGGTGTGCCTTTAATAATATCAAGAATTACCTTCAGGCTCAATTTGTATCTGGGCGAGGCTCTTTCCTTTGAATTCCGTCACTCTTCCCTGCTCCATGGCCATTAACACTTTGCTGATTTTGGCCAGCTCCAGTGTCCCCTCTGGTAGTCTGTAATATTGTCTGTGGATGCGAATGTCATGGCCGAGGAAGTTGGCTAGTATGTCCATTTCATTCTCTTTCATATTGAGAACTGTAGACATAGTAGCTATGTGCTTTCCAAGTTTGGTGGAGGATAGCATCTCTGGATGCACCGCACCACATTCTTTGGCCACCTGCCGTAGGTGATGTGGGTGTCTGCGCCCGGGCGGGAGAAGAAGTATGGGTTATGGTCAGAGATGGAACAGGCCCTTCTGTTCTCCACCAGCACCTCCATCGAAGCAATCATTTCAGGAGTCAAAAGAGCCGGCACTTTCCGACTTCTTTTCCCTTTAATTTCAATGCGTTGAAAATGCTGACACAGCTTTTTCTCAAGTTGGGACAGTCCCAGAGCAATGTCAGAATGGATCCCAGTCTTACTTCTTAAGGTAAACGCTGTCAGTGGCATCTTTGAAACCTCACCTTCCCTTCTTCGATTGAAAATAATGACCTCACAAAGAGTTAAAACTGCCAGTTTAGACCAATGCTTAGAGGTTGGCTCACTTATTAGGGTTTGCACGTATTCAGGTCGACATACCTCAATATGTGCATGCATGGCTCTAACATCCTCAGTCAGAGGGAGCAGGTCCGGAGTGTTCCACTTGGCTTGCCGGAGGGTCTGTAGGGCAGCAGAAGAAACACAGACGTCCCACCTCTCCTCAAAAAGCAGCCGGCTTCGTTGGAGGTTTTTAATAAATAGTTCATCAACACAATGCTCCATTTTTGAGTCACATTCAAGAATATCTGCTAGCTTTCTGAGGCTATGGCCGAGTTTGAGGGCCAAGGATGGAGTCTTGTATTGATTTGTTTCCTCATCATATCCAGCCACAGACCTGACTGCATCAATCACATGGTTAAAGTTGGAAGGAATAAAGAAATCCTTAATTGTTTTCAGTTTCCCTGCAGTTTTTGCTTCGTTAATTAACCTACCGACTTCTCTCATTTTCTGCCTAATGTAATCATGCTTAGTCTTATCATGCCCGTGTTTTAAGTACAGGTGCTCTCCGAGTCTCAGAATCCCTTTTTCTGCTTTGACAACACCCGTGACCTCATCCTGATGCATTGCCGAAATTAAAGACCACAGCTTTTTGCTGATGCCCTCCGGTACAGGCTGGGCTAGGGAGCAGAGGGATTGGACCCTACTTCTACCTGGTTTAGCCTGGGCATCTTTCTGTGAAAGCCGGCACCTGGCCACATGCCTCCACAGCCACTTTCGCTTAAGCAATGCACCACAGTCTATACAGTGCAAAAACTCACTGGATTTAACTGGGGAATTTGGCTGTTTAGCTGGGACTAAAGTTCCAATGCCGGCCTTTAAAAACCTCCAAATTGTGCTCACGGTTTCCACTATTCCTGATCAAATCAAACTGAAGTTTACGTGCTTTAGATTTCACAGGTAGAGCCAATTCTCTGGCTACGTCACTTTCATTTCCATGTTTTCTAGACAAATGACGGGACATTTTGTGGCAGGAACTTGAACAGTAGAGGCAGAAGTGCCTCTTGCTGTAAACTCTCCCCCCATTTTTCTTCTTTTGCAGCTGCATGATAACAATCTTATTTGCCTTTGGTTTGTCACTTTCCGAGTCTTGAAGTATTTTTGATTTTACTTTTTCCATACTTTTTTACAGGTTTCTTCTTGACAGTTAAATTGTCAGATTCTGAGTCGACTTCATCAATTAGGGACTCTTGACTTAGCTGCACAAACAACAAATAATTTGTAATAATTCTATATAACAATTTGAAGTCATAACTTGTAGTCAGCACTTACCAGTGGTTTGTAAGCGTGCGCTTCAGTGTGCTGCTCTGTGATTTCTTGCAGCCTAATGAACCACACACTTGCACCTTTTCTAGCCTGACACCTGACTTCCTCTGTTGTGCTGCTCCATGATTGGCTCCAGCCTGCTGGACTGAAATGGCCCCAGTGTGCCCCTCCTTGATATCCCGCAATCCACCACCAGGGTTCCGACACATAACACACTTTTTTCAGGAAAGTAAACCTCCAGGGGTCCTTTCCATATTTTTGCAGAGACTGCATAAGGACCGTTAGAAAAGCATTACCCATTGATTATTAAGCTTGGACCAGTGGGGTCACGTAAAACCAGTCCCCATGACGTGAGTGGAATCTCAGGTTATGGACCCCACCAGGAGTTGAAAACAAGTGCACACATACACATGAACACACACACAACAAGACATGTCATGTGGGAGCAAGGTGGGTTTGATTTATGCAGGAAGAGGAGATTGGACTAAGGAGGGGAGAAAAATAATGTGCAGCACATATGATTTACTTAACCAAAGGGAGTCTTTATGGTACGGCCAGTCCCAGGCTCAGGTCATGTGAAAGTGAACTCAGCACATGAGGCCTTGGTTCCAATGTTATCAGGGAATTTGGTACAATATATTCAAATATGAATTTTGCCTTAACAACACACACACACACTCATTCTTTTGTGTATTTTTCTGACAGAAGACAATAGATGTTGTGCTGGTCTTTGTTCATGTGTTGGTATAGAACGTAGAGTTTGTGTGGGAGGATTCTGGATGTCTTCAGGGACACGGCTTCAGCATTGAGCCCAGTCGAGGAGCAGTGGAACCAGGCACCACATGCACTGTGAGCCTCACGTGGACTCCCCCTGCTGGATACAAGGTACAATGGATTAAAGAGCTCCTGTTTAAAATCAAGTTTAATATGTGTTTTTCCTCAGCCCCACGACGTGCTGCAGAGCCATGTGTTTCTGAGAGCCAACTCAGTCACACTGTACAATGTCACACTGATGGGCATGTTCTCCTCCTGAGCCCCTCCTGAGCTCTGTTCACCTCATGCTGTGAATGAACGTCACACGTTGTTACTGTAGCTCACATGTGCAATTGACTTCTTATGTCTTTCAACTTTAATGTAAATTAGTGCCTGTATGACTGTTCCACGTTCTAGCCCTCACTGCAACACGGTTCACTTTTCGCTGCCTGATAGATATCATGAATATAACGTGACAGTCACCTTTATTCAAAGCCAAAAGAAAACATTTGTGTCTTGAATGCACAGCGATGATTAGTTCGGAGGACTCTGTCTCGTCTCTCTCTGGTCTCTATTTGAGGTCTCTCTCTTTCTGGTCTTCCTCTGGTCCCTCTCTTTGGTCTCTCTCCCTATGGTCTCTTTCTGGTCCACCACTGATCTCTCTTTTTGTTCTCCCTTTGATCTCTGCCCCCTCTTCAATTCAATTCGACATATTTTTGTAATGCCCTAAATCACAAGAGTTAGAAGTAAGTAAGTAAGTAATCTTTATTTATATACCGCATTTCACAGACCAGAGTCACAAAGCGGTTTACGAGTAAGATAAGATAAATGTCATTGATCTCACAATGGAGAAAAATACATGTCACATTTGGCATAGATAAGATCACTCAGGATGTGCAAAAAGAGTGAAAGTGTGCAAACATGTTAAAAGGTTGTGCAAGAAATGTATATAACAAAGAAATAGAGCCATTGGTCCATAAATGAATCTAATGGGCGGATGACCGATGTCAATAAATGTTATGGAATATAGATGGTCATTCTAAAAAAACACACAATACTTTAGCCTAAAACCTTGTTGCTAAAGCCTGGGAGAGGAGACAACAGATTCTGTACCCTGTATGAGGCACCAAATTGTAAATTATTTTTTGTTTTTCATGTATGTATATGGTCTGTAGCCATCAGATGTTGTTGTTCAGTGTCATATAAGCCCATGTGGGCTGGGCACTTTTGTGCATGACACTTAAGTAAATAAAAAACAAACAAACAAACAAAACTTAAAAGATAAGATAAAACTTTATTGATCTCACAATGCAATGAAATGTATGCGTTACATTGGCCTCAACAAGATTACTTAAAATGTGCAAAAATGTTATAAATAAAAAAGGTATAGAGATATCGTATGTACAACTAAAAAGTGACATAGGTCGTGCAAAGTTTGTAATCCTAGAACAGGTAGTCAATAAGTGACTTGTTGTACAGTCCGACAGCAGTGGCGGTGAAGGCCCTGTGGGAGCGCTCCTAATTGCACAGCTCACCGCCCAAAGACTCAAATAGTGACTCATGTGGAGTATGTTCTTTATGGAACAATAAAATGAGCGCTTCCTCCCTCATCCCTCTGACAGACAAGGGCTGGGACTGAGCGATACTAATGAATAAAACTAGAATATTAACATGAATGAGCAGTTTAAGAAAAATAAAGACCCAGTGACTTAGTATGGTGACAAAACTCAGTGTGAGAAAAGCAGATCAAGGGAGGCCCCTGGGTTCCATCATATGGTGAGGGTGTTCAAGTAATGGTCCCTGAGCTCCAGGCCTCAGCCCTCAGCCCTCTGGTACTGATACACTGCCATTGCCATGGTACAGTAGGCCCCAAACGTCTGCAGAACACGCTTCCATCAAACAATTTGCTAATTGTTCTTTTTCCTGGCTCTGCTCATCACACAGGTGAAGAGCTGCAAACACCCAGGTCCACAGGGGCAGCCAGGGTGCACAGGGCTCTTCAGAGGCTCACAATCAAAAGTACATTTTTTATTGGTGTGAAGGAAAGAAATTATGAAATACTTGTTTCATTTGTGCTGTCAAACAATTACATTTTTAAAATTGCAATTAATCACCTTAATTTCCTAGTTAACTCTCGATTAATTTATTTAATTTTATTTGGTTTGAAAGAGGCTTGGATGAAGCAAAAAGTATTTATTAATTCAGGCCCCTCCGCAAAGAAAATATTTGGAATGTAAGATAAGATGGGATAAACTTTATTGATCTCACAATGGAGAAATGTGCATTTCAAGATAGAAATGTACATGTAGATAAAATCACTCAGGGTGTGCAACAAGACAGGACGTGTTAACATGTTATGGATTAAATATAGTCTCTTTTGCAAGATATATTATGTACAATAAAGAATTAAAAGTAACTATGTTCAGTCCTGGTGCAGGTCATCAAAATGACTTATTGTACAGCCTGACAGCGGTGGGGATGAAGGCCCTTCTTGCACTGAAGGAGCTCCTCAGCTTCTCTACAGTCCTGTGCAGTGGGTGGGAGGTGTTGTCTATGATGGAGGTGACTTTGACTAGCACCCTCCTGTCCCTCACCTCCTCCACAGAGTGCAGGGAGCAGCCCAGAGTGGAGCTGGCCCTCCTGACCAGCTTGTTCAGTCTGTTCCTGTCCCACTCTGTGCTACCCGGGGCCCAGCACACAGCAGCGTAGTGTATGGCAGAAGCTACCACAGAGTCTTAAAAGGTCCTGAGCAGAGGCCTGCTCACTCCGAAGGACCTCAGCCTCCCATGGAGGTGACTTTGGCCCTTCTTGTACAGGGCGTTGTGCTCTTCTAATATAGGCTACTCAATCTCTGCTTTTTTGTCAGTATAAGGCTGTGCGGTCACAGTGTGGGACTGAGGTGAATCCCTGGCGGGGAGGGGGAGTGCAATACAGGTGCATGTAAAAGAGACAATGGGACAGCGAGTGAATAGCAATTAATAGACTACAGCTGAAGTTACAATGATGACGGATAAAGTAGGCATGAGGAGAGGACAGTGCTGCCTGTTACCATACTTTTCCAACAGGGGTCTCTATATGCAGCGTCATTGACAATCTGTTTAGAAAAAAATATATTTACAAATATAACATAGAATTACAACCAGGTTACACTTCCATTGATCTTCCAAAATGTGTTTCTTTTTCACATTTATATTTAGGGTATAAATAAATACAGAAAGGGAAAGAGAAAAATAAAGTGTACATTTAGAAGTTATTATCACATAATAATCTTCAGTTGACTTTGAATGCATGGATTTTTATATCTTCTCTGTATCCGTCAAGCCCAGTATGGGCCAGTGCAGTGTGGCGCTCCAAACCCCCCCCCTTTGCAATAGGGTTTTATATTTGACACTGGGTCTTTTTCCTTGCCTAATAAATCTGGAGATAACTTCAGATTTATTCCCTTTAATTCTGAAAAGGATTTTTTCCTGGTAGCGCCTGAAACAAGAGAAGACACTGTGGGAGAGTAGTCATCTTTACAATTTGAATTGTCTGGCTCAGACTTAAGAAGGAGAATGCACATCTACAATGTTACATCTAATAATATCATCCTTCTTTCTGGAGAAAACATGTGGGTGTTGTGTCAGTGTTCAACCTGGAGATACAATACAACACAATACAATACAATTTATTCTTGTATAGCCCTAAATCACAACAGCGGTCACCAACACAGATCAGAGAATCAACAATTAAGACACAAAAATACACAAATGTATTGGTTCATATGGAGAGACTAATGTCCATGAATGTTGATAAATGTCCATACATGTAGAATTTTATAGTGTCCTGGATCATCACCACAGTCCTTCTTGTATGTCTGTCCAACAGACCCTCCAGCAGTGGGAGAAAAGGACGGGCTATAGATCCAGGACATAAGCTAAACTAATTTAGGGATATACAAGAATAAATTGTATTGTATTGTATTACACAACTGTTGAATTTGCCGACACAGATCAGAGAATTAAACAGTTCAAACACCAGAAATACAATGAAAGAAAACACTTTGGTATTGGTCCATAATGGGCAGATGACCAATGTCCATAAATGTTGATAAATGTCCATAAATGTAGTCAAATGTTGAGTGCCCTGGATCATCACCACTGTCCTGTCATCAGCAAGGAAAAACTCTAAAACAAAGTGGGAAAAGGTGAAAAACCTCTGGGAGGTCCATATTGGGAGAGGGATCCATTCCCACGGACATATTATTCTAGGCAAGGCAAGGCAAGGCAAGTTTATTTGTATAGCACAATTCATACATAAGGCAACTCAAAGTGCTGAACAAAACAAGATAGCATTAAAATCATAAATAATCACAGAACATTAAAAAGAAAGATAAAAATATAAAATCCCTCAGTTGTATGCACAGCTAAACAGCACCGTTTTTAACTTGGTTCTAAACATTGTCAGAGAGGAAGCTTGTCTCACATCTTCAGGAAGATTGTTCCAGATTTTAGCAGCATGAATCTGAAAAGCAGCCTCCCCATGTTTAGTTCTGACTCTGGGCACTAACAGGAGTCCAGTCCCTGTGCTCCTCAGAGTCCGGGCTGGTTCATATGGGACTAACATGTCACTAATGGAGCTTTCGCGAAAGTTCACCGTGGTAGACCCGGCTGTTGCTGCCAGGCCACAGGCTGCTCTTCCTCGACTCATCAATACCAGCAACGCCCACACCCAGTCAACCAATAACCACCAGGACAGCAAGTTAAAAGCCGGAGACGCCCACTTCCCGATCTTCTGAAGTCTGCAAACTTCTGAAGCCTGCAAGGTGCATGTCGCTAACGCACCTGTTCGCAAATGCATGCGTGGTTCTGGAGGGGTCGCTTTCTGCTCACGTGTTGCTCGTGCGCGTGGCCCGGCTGTAACCTTGCCTGCAAGCTGAATTCTCGCGGTATTTGTGAGTTCACAAACACTCGAGAATACATCTTGTACCGCTCCCGCTTACACTTTTCGAGTCGAACCACTGGGTGTGCGAGCCAATCACGCGCCAGTCTGGGGGTTTAGGGCGGGATATCCGGGTTTGACGAAAGAAAGAAGTGCCGGGCCGAAGCAAAACAAACATGGCTACGCAGGAGGACGGACGCAAAGTCAGTTTTAGCAGAATCTCCAATTTATTTTTTGAAAGATGAACAGCGAGAGGCGCTTTGTACATTTCTGGACGGCAACCTTGGTAGGCGGGCACACAGCGTCACTTCGCCCAATCAGCTTCAAGTATTCTGCTGCTTACCCCTCCTTTCCCCGAAA